CTTTGACTCTAGAAGTCAAACATATGTCAACCAGGCTTCAATCAGGCTCTGAATCTGAAATGTACTCAACCAGAAAGGGAAGTATCTAATTCCATTAGAGTATTCATTTCAGGGGGAGATTGTTAATCTCAGGGGGAGTAATTTTAATTCATATTTTTATTGAACAAATTTCTCATGTTTTGTCATCATCAAAAAGGGGGAGATTGTAAGAGCACAGATTGTGTCTTAGTAATATCTCTATGTTTTGATGATAACATTAATGATAATTTGTATACAAGAATTATACTCTCTAAATTTGTTCTAAACTGTTTTCTACAGGCACAAAAGATTTTAATCTTAAAGAGCAAATTTGATGTGAACAATAAATTCTGAATGGCTCAAGAGCATCTGAAGATTAGAAGAATCTGAAGTATAAGAGCTTAGTCATCAAGATTCTGAAGATACAACACGCTGCATATATTATCAAGAATCTGAATGAAAGAAGACTCTGAGTGAAGAGACTCTGAATGAGAGAAGACTCTGATCTGAGTGAAGACTCTGATCTAAGAGCATGTTACGCTTCAAGCACACAGCTGCACCAGACTCTGATTCAGCAACATCTGAAGAACATCTTAGGCTCTGAAGTTTCCAGAAGATTCTGAAGACTGAAGACTCTGATATTGATTGTTGATCTGAACTATCTGAAGAATTATTTGAAGAAGATTATTTTAATATATCCGTTGGAATATGCCAGCAAATCTTTCCTTAATTGGGATAGACATAAATCTCTGCAAGAAGATTATTCCTCTGATACATTCCATATATGGTATAATCACAGCTCAGCAGACAATTGCTACACCCACTATTTGTGCGCCGTCTCTCTGCTGCAATAGTACAAAGGACTGTACCTTTTTGATATTGGAAATATCTTCTCCAACGGTAAAATATTCTCTCCAATATTCAAGTGGCTATATAAAGGAAATCATAGCTCATTCTTCAAGTGACGAAATCATTGCAAGAACACTCTCACGCGAAAAACTCTCAAGCTCTCATATTCTTTGCTGTTCATACATTGTTCTAAACTTAGAGAAATAACACAGTTGTGTTTATAGCTTTATTAGAAGCAATTTCTTACTCTTACATTGTATTACATTAATTTGTAAAGGAAGTTTTCCTTAAGAGGATCTAGGTTAGATCAGTAGCTCTTGAGAAGACTAAGAACAGTTGTTCTTAGGTGTTGCTATTTGTAATCAGTTGATTTGAATAGTGGATTAAGTCCTTGTTGAGAAAGGCAAATCACTCTTGAAAAGGGTGGACTGGAGTAGTTGAGTTCAACGAACCAGGATAAAAATACTTGAGTTTTTATCTTTGATTATTTTCTGTCATACTTATTCAACCCCCCTTCTAAGTATTTTCTCACCTTCAGGCTCCACCATAAATTAAGACTTTGTTTAAAGACCCATTTATGTACCTTAGAATCCACTTCAATATTTGTCAATGAGCCTTTTCAGGATTCTCCATGTACCTGCTTACAAGACTTACTGCATATGCTATGTCGGGTCTAGTACAGACCATAACATACATAAAAACCCCACTATATTAGCATATGGAATGTTATTCATATGAGCTTTTTGGACATCAGTACTGGGACACTGATCTATACTCAGCTTGAATTGAGGGCTTGTTGGAGTCACAACAGAATTTGAATTTGACATGCCAAACTTTTCGAAAATCTTCCGTAGGTATGCCTTTTAAGATAAGCATAACTTCGACTGCTTTCTATCTCTTCGGATGTCAACCCCAAAAATCTTGAACGCAACTCCCAGATCCTTCATGTCGAACTCCTTATTGAGTTCAACCTTCACCCTCATTACATCATCAATACTGTTGCTTGCTATTAGAATATCATCATATAAAGCAACAAAATAACAAATGAATTACCAGGTCGGAATCTAAAGTAAACACAGTGGTCGAACTGACTTCTAATGAAACTTATGTGTGCCATGAACTTGTCGAATCTCCTATTAAAATATATATTATTAATATTAAAATATATGAATGAAATTATAAAATATATTTTGTATTCAGAAGCGTTATATAATTTCATTAATAAAATTGAAAGTATGAATAAAACAGAAAGTATTAAACAATAATTATTTTAGTAATTAAAGAAATATTAGTAAAAGATTTTTGAATATGAAGTTATATTTTATATTAACTAAAAAAAATTGAAAGTAAATAAAATAAATATTAAATATATTTTAATATTTATTATTTAAAAAACCAAAATTAAATAATAAACTTAAATTAAATATATTAAACTGAAAGTAAATATATTTTAATATTTATTAATAATAAATTAAAATTAAAAATATTTGTTTAATAACAAATTGAAAGTAAATAATAAACTAAATTAAATATATTTGAGGAGAAATAAATAGTACTCATGTAATAAACTAAAATCGAACATACCTAAATAATAATACTCGTGTAAAATCAATTTTGGAAATAATATATAAATTTGGATTAATACCCATTTCACCCCCGTCATATGGGGCGAATTTGGAAAATGCCCCTATTAAAAACATGGATTTCATCCTTGTCATATCAAGATTCCAACCAATGGACGTTGAATCAATGACCTTAAGCATGCATAAGGGGGCTTCTATCACTAGACCAATTTAGTTCTTATGATTTATTTTCACCTCAAAATTTATAGGGTGAAATATGCCTAGGGTCCCATGAAATATCCCATATTTCAATTTTAGCCCCTAAAAAAATTCTTCCAAATAATGATCCTTTTAATCTTTTTCGTCATCAGTATTCGTCCATCCCGTTAAATATGCTAAGGGTCCCCAAAAATATCCCATAGTTCAATTTTAGTCCCTCAAAAAATTTCTTCTAATAATGATTCTCTTAACCTAGGCTAGGGAAGGGGAACCGACCTTTGGCCAGGAACGACCGTAGTGACGTCCAATAAACTTTTAGGGAAGACCTCGTAAGTTCGCATGGAATATGAATATCTTCATTCGAGATCACGTAAATACACCTCTTGCTGGTAAAAAAGAATTGCATTCCAAATACACACACACACACACACACACACACACACACACACACACACACACATATTCTTCCATTACAAATTACTTTGTACATAGTACACACAAAAAATGAAAACAAAAGGTAGACAAGACTACTCCAACAAGGAGACAATCTCCCCATCTTTGAGAATTGGTTTGACAAAATATGCTCCCTCGAGATAAGTAAAGATGGTGAAAGTATTTCACTGGCTATAAAACATTTTCAAAAGAATACGAAAGTGCCTTAAGGCTGGCGGTCGTATACTGAGCCAAACATTGAGTCAAAGAAGAATTCTCAATGCACAAAGACTTTAGCCCCCTCTGAGATGCTGAAAGGCATGCTTGAGCAAATGATAAATTATCCCAAGCAAAAATTAGGGCCTAATTCTTCATAGCCATTGTCCCTTATCCCAATGAGAGAAGTGAAAGTTGTTTGTATTTCCTATATGTAAATATCCCATTAAAGCGCCAGGTTTCAAACAATTTCTTCTAGCCGACGCTTTTCCTCACGTTGCTAGTAAGACCAAAAGCGCCCTAGCGACCGACTCCACCAAGATTCAAAGCAGCAGACGAATGACCATTGTATCGAGGCAGAGTTGCCAATTCTTCATTCAGAGCACACCCGAATAGGTTGGCCAGATACGAGTAATCCTTATTCGGAGGAGAAACCCTATGTTTTCTAGAAAAATATGGGCCCGACCGCGAAGAACTCTGCGGCCGATGAAGAGCATTCAAAGCAGCAACACTCCCAGAAGGCTCCAAAGTAGTAGAAGGGCATGGTTAAGTTCTAGTTGGCCATATTCCCCGCCTTAAGAGCTCGAGTTATACCTCATCCTTCATAAAATATGCACACAATCATTAGCAAAACAAACACATCATGAATAAGCAAAGTGAAGGCAAAGAAGCCAAGAGCTGTTAGAGCATGCCAAAAATAAACTTTCTTTCTTCCTCGCACCGGACCTTTACCGACGAGCAGGCATCGGTGAACCATTTCAGGCGTTTTCAATCGGCCTTATCCCGCGGAATGCCGCCCTTGAGATAACCCAGGCTTTTACAAGACTCATAAATCGTTTCTTCTAGTAAAGGTTCTCTACGGAAAGGTCTTCTTTATATACATACACCCCATTTCTCATGAGAAAATGGTGCTTGGTCGAGTACTTAGGGAACAAATCAGCACCTTTTTCCTCCACTTCATCCCTAACATCATAGATTGTTGCATGAGCTTCTAGACCAATAGGAGTAACTAAAAAGAACATATCTTCAAAATGTTGTAGAACTTCCGACAAATCCTCAAAATTTCAAATGACCGACAATGTAGAAACTAAGCCCTACCCCGTGGCTGGGCCACGGTGAACTCTGAAATTATTATTTAATTTATTCTCTTAATTTTTAATATTTGTTGATAAAAATTCTATGGAATTAAAATCTAGTAACATAACAATTGATCATTAATACTTGTTTATAAGAATCAGTAATATAAATTCAAAAATGGTTTAATGTATAAATATTTTGATGTATGACTAAAACTTTATCCTTATTGAGAATTTGAAAATGGAAAGGACTTTTTAGAGAGTCTTGAAACGATTTAAAAAATAATCAAATAGTATTTTGATTACATTTTCAAACACAAGATATATTAGTGGCTAAAAGTTATCATTAAATTTGAAATAAAATCACAACAAAAATTATTGTCCAGATACAACCTCAATTCATTAAACGGTTTGACTAGGTTTTAAAATTTTAAAAAAATATATTTATTTATGATTCAAACTTGTGTTTTCTACTGAACATTAATCAATTGAACAATCATTGAGTTAATAATAAAATTTAAATGATGTAATAAAAATGATTAAGTGAATAAATTAAATAATAATTTCATAAAATGTGCATTGTCATCTCTAGAAGCGAAATACATAAATTAGACCGAAAATCGAAAATTCACACAACCACTAGAGGAGAAAAACAAAAGGAAGATAACGGCGATAACGGTGGAACGCTGAACGTTCCCTTGACATCAACGTCCCAAAACCCAGTCCAAGTTGACGGCGTTAACGGCATCTCTTTAATACAGTTCACATCAAATTCTTCCGTTTTCTCCTTTTTCACCACCGGTTTCACTTCCACTACATCATCCTCTTCCTCTTCGCGGCAACGTTTTTTGTTCTCGTCGGATTTCTCCGCCGCCGCCGCCTCCGCCGCCATTGCGTTGACTTCTAATGGAAAGTTGAGAATGGCTTTAGATCCACGAAGCCTAAAAGCGGCACGATCGTAGGCTTTAGCGGCTTCGATAGCGGTTTCGAAAGTTCCAAGCCAAACTCTCGAGCCACGTTTGTTAGGGTCGCGGATCTCGGCGGCGAACTTTCCCCACGGTCTCTGTCTAACTCCTCTGTAGTGCTGTTTCTCAACAACTTCAGGTTTCTGAACAACCACCTCCGGGTTCGGGTTCGGATCTGGATTTCCGAATTGGATCCATTCAGTTTTATTTGGAAGAGCGATTTTCAGCGACGGTTTCCGATTCAGTTGAGGCTTCTTCTCTACTGTTCGTTGAGGATGAGAAATTAGGGCTTCAGGACTAGCAGGTTCAATTGGTTGAGTCTTGGAGGCAAATTCAAAGACCGGAATCTGTGTCTCTGATTCAATAAGATTTGTGAGATAAGAGATTGAAGAATCAAAACTGGAAGAGTTTGTTTGATTGGTTTGAAATTGAAAATCAAAATCAAAGCTCCATGGTTCTGAAATTGGAGATGGAAGAGGTGAAAATTCACCAAGAAGATGCAATTTGATGCTTTTAAGAGCTGAAACTTCTTCTGCGTTAGCCATTGGTAACTATTTCTATTAATTGAATTGAAGTTGTTTTTATTAGAAAAATGAAAAAAAAAAAGTTAAAATAATTATGAGAAGAAAAAGAAGAAGGGAAAGAGGATTAGATTGTGTTTGTCTAAGTTGAGTGGAAAAGGGATATATATAGAGAGGAGAAAGGTGAAAAATAATGAGTGTGTGTGACTTTGTATAAAGGGATGGTAGGAGGAAGCATCGTATTTCTCTTTCTCAATCATTCTATCATTTTTTTTCTTTGTTTGCGGTTTGAATATTATAGGATAGGGGACACCCTTATAAATTTGCTCCTTATCTTGTCTATATCAACTGCATCTTGTTGATGCTTACCCATTCTTTACTGTTTATTTCTCTTTGTCCTTACTCTTGTTGTAGTATTTTGTTCATTATTTTAATGAAAAAAAATGATTCCATCCAATTCATATGTAAATACTAATGAAAGCACAAATATATTTTATGATTGGAGCAAGTTTTATTGAAATTCTTTTCTCCAAATTAAAGTTTTTCAAAATTTTGAAAATTATTTTTAAGATTCAGAATTTCTTTTAAGTTTTAGAATTTGAAAGTTTGGTAAATCAAGTAAATAAAGATTGAACATAGACACTAATATATAAATAGCAAAAATACTATTTTAGTCTTTTAAGTTATTTTAATAAAATATTAAATTAATTTTTAAGTATTTTTTGTAATTATGTAGTCCTTTAGAGTAAGTAACGTTTACGTTGTTGATTTTTCAAAAAATTTCTGTTATAATAAATTGCAAACTCATATATAATTTGAATTGGTTTTTCGCGCTGATCACGAATATGTAATTAGTTTTGCGTTTGATTGTGTATTTTGTTCGGATCGAACGATTTTCGGTTATGTATTTGTCCACTTTTTTTTTTCTGATTCTCATAAATCGTAACTTGTTTGATAAATTTGATTGCGTATTCGTGATCAGCGCGAAAAATCAGTTCAAATGGTATATGAGTTTGCAATTTATTGTAACAAATATTTTAAAAAAAATGTTTAACATAAAAAACCAAAACATTACAAAAACATCAGACTAACTTGATATTTTAAAATAATTTAAAGATTCGTATAAATAAATTTAAACTTAACAATTTAGTACATCAACAACAATAATATATCAACATGAATTAAAAATATTAATTAAAAATAAATAAAAACAAAGTAGTTTTTTTTATAATAAATTTTATATTGGGCTCAATTATGCATGATGGGATTTCTAGAAAGAAAACTTAAAAAATAACTTGAACAAATCTCACTAGAATAACACGTAATTTGATAGATTCTTTATATTGGTCAAATATTTAGAACATGGTTCTCATTTCATTTTCGTTTTGAATTTGGTGAAACAAATACATCAATCAATAATGACAATTATGATCAACATTGATGTAATTGATCTTTCAAATAACATAATGTAACATCGATAATGATCCTAAACTAATGAGAATCTCCTTGTTGATCATTTAAACTATGTATGAGTAAATGTTCATTATTTTGTGTCATAAACTAAAATAAACAAAACATCAATCTATACAAATTTATATGAACTGTAGTACGCATAAACTCTTAATGCGATCTAAACATTGCATTAAAAATATTGATAAAATTCAAATTTTATAATTTAAACACATATTTGATGTGATATACACATGTTTGAATTTTATATTCTAAAAATATAAAATACCATTAGTCTGTATTCAAATTATATTCGAACCTTTAATTTACACAAAATCAACGATAATCATAACATAATATGATAACACAATAATATTACAACAAATACTATTAAAAATAATACATAATATAACACATCATCCATAATACATAATATCATTTATAAATACATAATAACAAAAGATCATAAACAAAATACATACTATGAAAATACATCATATTATGCCCATGCAACCATCTCCTTTTTTTCCCGACCTCTTGTGTCGCAAGGCATTTCAAACCACTTAAAATTTATTGCACAATATTGTGGACTCTTGTGTGCCCTATTCTATGCTCACACTAACAAATATCCTAAATGTTAAACCTCATATACACTCGCATGCAAGAATCAACTACCTCAATTATTGCCCTCATCTTCTATCACTTCCTCTAATCCATAATCTTGTCTTCTAATACAGAGAAAATGATGTCATATTCATGCATGCATCAACATGCACCAACTAGTAAACAACATTGAATATAATGTTTTTAACAACTAATTAAATAATTAAATGAATAGACATAACACACTATTTAATGTCATTGTTATGACATAACCGATAGATGAAGGTGTTTGATATCCTCCTTCCATCTAGCAGATAAATACTCATTGTGTCATGATCAATTTGAATGTAACATTTGGTGGCGAGCTTAACTATTCAATTGTCTCTGATGGCATCATTGAACCATCATTAACTTGGAATAGTTAAATAAATGATCTTCCCGTTGTTAACACATTTAAGTGCCATGTCATAAAACTAATAACAGAAAGAGCAAGTTATAATAAGCAATATTCAACAAAAAGTTAAAATAAATTGTTATAAATATTAAATGGATAGACATGTCAAACTTGTCCGTCTCTCTCCCAAATATAACTGACCACGTGGTCCCCAAAGTCTTAGTGTTAGTATTGCGCGCGCGCGTATATATATATATATATATATATATATATATATATATATATATATATATATATATATATATATATATATATATATATATATATATATATATATATATATATATATATATATATATATATATATATATATATATATATATATATAAATTTGTTTTTCAACTGATAATTATGATTAGAAGCGACTGAAACTGTGTTCCTCCTAAGATGATCTAAGAGAATATTGAAGACAAATCGTTATTGCATATTTTTAGTATAATTTGCATTAGTTTCAAGATTTTTTCTTTTAAATTGTTTATGTTTTTGTATGTTTTAATAAAAATTTCAAAGAATTTTGAAAAATACTAATTCATGCCAAAATTATTCTAGCCAAATAAATTTTGTGGTATTTTATTATAGAAGTTAAGAAAAAGACATGAGAGGTTGCATGCAAGAAAATAAGAGAAATTACAAGTTTGAGAAAAATAAAATGCAAATTAAGTATTCGAAAAGCTGCGACACTTAAGACATGAAATGCGTCACATTTTTGCAATTATGGATTTGTCATGTCACTAAAATTGTAAAATTGTGACGCGCCAATAAGGCAGTGCGACAAGATATTGCATAGAGTTTTTTTCTATAAATTGAAAAATGTGTTTAGTTGTTAGTGCTCCAAATATTATGAGAAAATAGACATATTATGAAGCATTAGAGTAGGAGAGAATGCAAGGAATCATAAGGATTTCACCCCTCATCATTTTTAAGGTGTAATTTCTTTTTTACATTGAATTTGCCATGTATCCCTTGATGAATGAGTAGTTCCCTTATATTAAATTTCCTTAAATGAATTTTTGCTATTAATGTAAACTTCGTGATCCATTTAAATCTGATTAATGTAATGGTCAATTTCTTATAGCTATTTAGTAATATTTTCGCGTTTAATTATTTTTTCTGTTTAAGAATACAAGAGAAATGATATAGATAGTGTTTGAGAACTAATAGTAGATAACACAATTGAAACTAAACATCACAGGGTATATGCAATTGTGGGATAAGTATTTATGTTCAACCAAACTTTCATGAGTTACGACTTTGCCAAAGACATAGAGGGATTATAATTAAACTATACATGTAGGTTGATGACGAGACATCACACACAACTGTTTTAAAAAGTAGTCATGATATAAGTATTAATTAACCACTTAAAAAGGAAAAAGTATTCAAATGGAGACTTGCTCATTTCTTTGGTTATAATTCTCAATCTTTAGTTTATTCAATTTTATAATAATTTTGTTAAATATAATTCATTGTGTAAACAGATTTGATTTGATATGATTAGATATCATATGATTAGATTAGATTTGATATCATATGATTAGATTTGATATCATATGATTAATTTGATATGATATGATTAGATATCATATGATTAGATTTGATTTAGAATATTTTGGACCTTTTATGTTTTGGGCTAGTGTAAACCTAAAACTATAAATAGAGTGCCTTACTTTGTATTCTACATCACAACAGAACAGATTTCACAGTTGCAGTTAGCAAGTGAAAGTTCAATAAGAAATTCCACAGTTGTGGGTAACACATTCTCTCCAAATACTTCTTCTCTCATTCTTCTCTTTCTTGTTTGTTATTCTTCTTCTCTTTTGTTGTTCTTAATAATTACTTGTTATTACCATCATTATCATATAGTGGGTTTGTTCATCAATCTTGAGATCAAGATTGAAGGGAATTCTTCATAGGGTGTGAGGTGAATTTCCAACATCTGGTATCTAGAGCTCCGGTTGAGAGATTCAAGGAAGGAAGATAGTGATGGCGATGAACTATCCGAACAGAAATTTTCCGGCGACCCTGTCAATTCTCAAGAAAGACAATTATGAGAATTGGTGCAAGCAGGTTAAAGTGATTTTCTGTTATCAAGATCTTTGGGATCTTGTGAAGGACGGAGTGACACCGCTTGTGGAGAATGCAACGGAGGCGGAAAAGGTTGCGCACAAAGAATTGAAGAAGAAGGATTATAAAGCACTCTTTATAATTCATCAGTGTGTTGATCCTGATAACTTTGAAAAGGTTAGTGATGTTGATTCAGCAAAAGAAGCATGGGAGATTCTTGAAAAGTCGTTTGGAGGCGCAGAGAAGGTGAAAGAGGTGAGGTTACAAACTCACAAGAGAACCTATGAGTTGCTTCAGATGGAAGACAACGAAAGCATTACAGATTTCTTCACCAGAGTTACAAAGTTGGTGAATCAAATCAAAGTATGTGGAGAAGCGCTGACGACGAAAGCAGTTGTCTCAAAGATTTTGAGATCGTTGGCTCCAAAGTTCGACCACGTGGTAGTTGCCATAG